TCCACTCACATTTCAGCTGTGTCTTGTAGTTTACATAGCACGTAATAATAAACTGAAACCATGAAAACAAAACGTATAGAAAGGTGAAACGATATATTCTATGTAAATAACTCTAAACAGAAATAAGTAGTAAATTATGAGGATATCTATTACACTGCAAAGAACTGGAAGAGAAAGGCCTAACATAAAAGGTTTTACTCTGGGTCTTAAGTTTTTTAAATCGGGTCTTCCATAGAAAGGAGAAAGAGCGGGTTATTTATTATTTGTTTTCATTCTTCTTAAAATAGTTTTTCTGGTGGGAGTCCATTTTCTTAAGAACTTCTCTGTACTTAAGAAAAAAAAGCTATAATTGTTCGAGACCTCTTTTATTTCTTAGCGGGTGATGTCACTATGACGTCATATGGCTTACGAACAATAAGCCCTGTCGTTAGCAAACATAGACGTTACCCAATCCATTCGTAGAATGGCAATGGATAGCTCGGTGACTTCTGCTTCTTTCGCAACGTACGATAAATGCCCGTAAAACCTCGCAGAGCCTTATTTAGACAAGGAAGGAGATGTAATCCTGTCACGACCAAATAAAATCTGCAAACAAGATCATGCCTCAGAAAGAGACGGATGGGAAGAACGGAATCTAGAAGTGCGGTTTTCAAATTTGGTCTTTTCACAAAACCCATAAAAAATATAATTTTTTTTTGTGCAACCCTTACCATATTCATAAAGAGGTAATGTTGAGAAGCATCGAAAATATATCAACTTTTTGTAGACTTTAATGTAGAAAATCAAAAGAAAATCATTATTTCATTATAATTTTACTAATAAAAAATATATTTTATATTATTTTTAATAACTGTAAAGGTAAAAAGATGTTATTTAGTTAATTACTTAGATATTTAGTTTCGCAGTCCTGACATGGCATTTAAAAATTCTTTCGAATTTAGATTTTGATTTAACGTACTTTGGACGAGTTGCATGGATCCTCAGTGTTCAACACGGTTTTAAGACCACTAAACTAGATGCTAGTTATTTTAGGTATTTAGTCTTGAAGTCTTCGCACGGTATTTTAAATATTTATATTTTGATTTGCGAAGCCCAGGAAGAGTTGCTTGGAACTTCAAGGTTCCAGGGAACACAATTTAAAGAATATTAATCTAGCCGCTAATTATTTTAGATGTTGAGTCTTCCGGTCCCTGGATGGTATTTACAATTTCTTTCAAATTTTGATTTACGAAAGTCTGGAGGATATATGGAGTTTCGGAGTTCCAGAGTGCACAGCTTGAAGGAAAAGCAGGTTTTAGCAACTGCGAGAAGCATTAAGACTTTTAATTTTATTTTTCATTCAGCCTTCGGCACATTTGACTCTCCTAGAGTTGCCATATGAGAAAGCATAATATTTTTATTTTGTCTCTCAAATTTAATCAGTCTGTCACTGGTTAACAAACTGAACGATTCAAAGCAATAAACGGACTTCTAAACGTTTGTATTGTTTTCCATTTATTATGAAAACTATCCTGGCAACATAAATTCCGCAGGTATCTAGGAAACATCAATGGGAAGAACGGAATAAATCTTAATGCAGTTTTCACAAATATTGCCATCGCGCGAAACTAGAAAAATATAAACTATTTTCAACGCTTTTTCGCTAATAGTGTGTAGGGCTCACTTGCCTAACTTCTAAGTGAGAAATGGAAGAGTAGTAACTGCATAGAAGAAAGGTTAAAAGTACCCTTTATTACACTCTTTAAAATTTACAATGCGTCAACTCGAAGCTAACATACTACGCTTCTTCTTGGTTGGTAACTGAAATCACAGAACTAAACTAAACATTTGAAGATATGTACAAGTAGTAGAACTAAGTTTCATGACTCAGATAATTCCTGTTTCTTAAACCCGCGTCGAAAACTAGTGGCAGCAAGTAAATGCAGTTAGCCACGTAACACCAGCAATAATTCCGGGAGCAGAAGCTTACGCAACAGAGATAACGGCAATAGCCTAACTCTATCTAACTTTCGTACTTAACCTCAGTTTTTAAACTCTTTCTTCTTAAGGTAGAATTTGCATTTCATCACGCGCGCTACCAAATTTAAATGTTTTTGCATTGACAATTAGGGAATTGAAGGCTTATAGGAAAGCTTAAAATTAAAACTTAACTTGTTAGTTAAAAATAAATATAAATCCTTACAAGTCATTTCTCGGAATGTTATTATTCTACAAAGCATAAGATATCTAATATATCTTTATGAATTTAGTCAGTCTGTATTGATCAGCGAACTGATAAAGAAGCAGCGAACGACTAATTTAAATCTTATTTAAATTTTCAACAATGCATCTAACTGATGTAATGAATTAAAATACATTTAATTTACGATAAATGCAACTGATAAGTTTTATGTGTACGTAATTTGCAGCTTTGCAATAAATAATGAACGATGTTAATAACTTCTGTCTTATATAATTGATTCAAGATCTTTTTTTTTAATTTTATGACATTTTAGATTTTTAAATCTTTTCTAATTTTTTTCAATTTTTAATAGTAAACTCTGTTTCTTGATGTTAAACCATAATCTGAACCCTTCAGATTACAACTTTCCTGTTTAATGTATTTAACCATCAATTTTAATTACAATTAAAAATTCGACAAATTAACTTAAAAGAAGTAAAGAAAAGTAACTCGAGGTCATGATATAAGGTTAAACCTAAATTAATCTAAATCTAAATTAAACTCTTAAGTGAAGCTAAGGCGCCAATGAAAGCCAAAGCTCACAACAATCAGCACAGCACGTAGAATACGTAGTACGCCACGTAGAATCTAGGAATTTCAGAGTTCAAAGATGTCAATACACATTCTTCCTTTAAACTTCTGTTCTTGCTTCTTATTTATATTCTTTTAAATTTTATTTCTGGTGAAGCTGAAGAAAACACAGAAATGCAGGAAAGATTTAAAATATAAAATAAACCTTAGAAACTGACTAATTAAATAGTTAATTATTATCAATTAATTAATAGCTATTTAATTAATGTTTATAAATTGTTATTTAATCAATAATTATTATATAATTAATTATATATAATTTAAGTGATAATTATTAGATAATTTATTGTTATTTATTGAAATACATAAAGATTGAAGTAATTAAAATAATTAAAATCAAATAAATGTAAAGAGATAAATTGACATTTAATAATAAGCGATTTTTTAATATAAATTTTATTGTTAAAAATAAAATTTTCGAGATAAAATTTCTACTGAAATTGTTATTCAAGTTACATTAAAAGAAGGGGGCCGCAGCCTTCTTATTCAGGGCTCCGCTGCGTTCCGGCTAGAATTATGATTTTATTACAAAAACTAAGAAGCACTGGAAGCGAGCTCCGGTAAGCTCCGGCCCAGTTTTAAGCTCTGATCGTTGAGGGGGGTGAGTTCTTTTATCATCACAAAAAAATTAAATATACTTAGACGTATAGCTGATGAAAATTCCAGGGCGAAACAGAATGAGGGTATGAGTGGGTGGAAACAAAAAACGACGGGAATCTTGGTGAGAGAGAACGTTCTCTTTGACCGCGGCTCTCTGCTGATATAATTATAGCCATCAAGATGTGTGTCAGGGGTAAAATGAGCCCTGAATCTGACTCCTAAGGATGAATGTAAAGTTGCTGGTTACGCTTTCCCCCATTAGTGGATACTGTCGGAAGACGATATATAGGACGTGCTTGAGCAATTTATCTCAGTGTTTCACTCTTATTGTACTCGCTGTCACTAAAACGCACATTTAAGAAAACAAATTTTCCTTCTTGCGAGGATAACTAACTGTAAGCATCGATAACAATACACTAGATACGATGGCATGACGAGAAATTTACGCATTCCTAAACAAACTCCCCCAGATTTATTGCCCTTCTTAAAGGGAAAGGTTTCCGCATGTGAGTGAGGAGATTTTACTTCAACGTCTCATGTTCTCATGAGTTCGTATTTCTAGAGAAATAGAGTATTGCAAGGTCTGCTTATTGTTAAACTAAAACGTTAGGAATTCTAAATTTTTTCCTTTTAAACTGTGGTTCAGTTTCATAAAAAGAGTACTGGATCTCATCTTATCTAGGGCTTCGGTGAGCTCGGCTAAAATTGTAATTTATCTTAAAAATTGAGAAGTACCGGAGCCGGGCTCCGGTGGGCTTCGGCGCAATTTAAGCACTATTGAAACCTGTTCGAACTACCAGTGATCATCGGTTTTATGTATTTGATCACTGGTTTTTCTCACTTTAACAGCTGATAGAGGTTTAAGCTAAACAGTTAGTACGAGAATGTCTAGTTTAAGAATCCAAGCATTCAGCATTTTCTTCGGGGCTAGTCTGATCATGGTTGAATGTTATGCAATTAAATTCTGCTGAGGAATCAAAATATTGACTGTCTTATGATTAACTTCTTTGAATTGCTGAACTGATTCCAAAGTGTTCCTTTGAACAATTCTCTAGTCACATTCTCTGAAAACAAAATTTTCTGAAAGGATTTAGGAAAGGTAAAGAAAATTCAAATTGAGGAAAATCCTGCGGATGTCGAAAGACATAGAAAGAGACGAAGCAGAAGACTATTACTTAGAGTAAAGCTTTGTGGAAATTTCTTTTAGTTATTCAGAATTCGCTGATGTGCAACGAAGAATGTAGATCGATTAGATCCATATTTAGGATGTATGTGATCTTCTTTGCAAAGGAGATCTCTCTCTGGTAACGTAACCTGGGTACCAGAGATTCCACAATGAGAAAGAATCCAATTACTATTATGAAAATAATAAGTCCAGTTTAAAGTGTAAAAAATATAATATAAAGTAACGTACGAAAAAATATAATATAACGAAAAAGATGTAATAAACGAAAAATATAATATAGTATAAAATTTATAAACACACACAAAATATATTTTAAAATTGAATTAAGTATGTTTAATGAAGTTATAGAATGGCAAATCTTTTAAAAGTCGCCTGTCTTGAAGATTCTCACTTTCTTTCCAGATGCCCCGGTACAAAAGGACGGAGTTCGACGAAGAGGAGACCAGTAGCATGGCTAGCATGGCTGTCGACGCCCCCATGGTCACGGGTGCCCAAAGCGGAAGTCACACGCCGGGTCACGGGGGTGTCCAGGTCAGGTACTCTCCCGGTCGCAAACGCAACTTCTGGGAGAGGGCGTCGCCCTTAGAGAAGATACTGATGATCAGCGTCCTCGTCCTTCTCCTGATTGTCGTCATCCTGTCCGCGGTGCTGGACTCGTACACGGGATCACCAACGGTCAGAGTGGTCCACATATCAGCAGTCAACGGTACCACGAGCGTCGTCAACGCGAGTGGTGAGTTAATATTGTGAAGTAGCAATTAATTATGGTGAAGTTCAATTAATAACACAACAAGCAGGGTAGATTACCTGCGTCTAAGTGTACAGCAGGATATGTTCTGCCTAGTGACCTTTATTTGGACTATTTAAATATAGCATACCGTGACAAACAAGACCGATGATAGATTGTATAGTGATATTTTCAGGCATCCATACATGTGACATGCTGCAGTAATTTACAAACTACGATTAATAACAGATACAGGCACGGTCCATTTTGAATTACAAGTAAGTAAAAATACACGCCACAATATTGGTCATTTATAAACACAGGATTACAAATAATTAAATTACAATTAAAGATACAGCGAATGAAACTATAACAACGACACTAATACAATGAAGCTATAACCCAAAGATACAGTCAGTGATGCAATGAAATCAGGTATTCTAAATACAGATACATTTCTTTATGTAGAAATTTCAATTTAATGATACAACGAGCTATACAGCAAAAACAAGTGATAATGCAAATACCATCTTGTTTTTGAACGTATTTTGCATCCATGTTCTTTTGAGGAATGCTGCAGGCAATGGTCTGGAGCAAACTAAATTGTCTGTACAATTAGCTCATAGTTTCACTAGCGACTGAATAACGTACTGACCTGTAATAAGCGTGGTTGCTCGCGCAGAAGTGCCAATTCCTCCGATTTCAACAGAAGACTCCTGAATTTCAATCACATTTCTCACCAACCTAATTTATAACATACTTCTTTTAATTTCCTATCACTCTTAAAATTAATCGCATTTTTTATATATCTAGGCTTACTGTTTCTTAATAAGAAATATTAATCCGAGCTTAATGGGAACCCCAAAATGAGATTTATGTCCTTTCTGTAGATTGCTTACTGGACGGGGGAAAAATCGAAAGCCATTTCTTTAATGGAAGATCAAGGCGCGCTACCATTATGCGCGTGAAAGCATCTGAAAATGATAATGCGAGTTTTAGATGTGTCTGAATATGCTCAAGAACAAGTGGATATTCCAGGGCATTGTCAAAATTGCAAACTGTATGGCTTAGTTATATCGATCACTGCGTATCACTGGATTCAATTTCTTCAGTGAATGCCGCAGCAATTCTTATAGCCTATTCTACCAATAAGCAGAAAGCAAAATCGAAGGCGTCTTTGCGTTTCTCTCGTCATTCAATTACTGCACCAAAAGCGGTTTAGTATCATCTTGTCAGTAAATACTGAAAAAAAAAAGGCCATTGAATTAATTCATACATTGTCACTAAGAAATCATAAGCAATTCTGAGAAAAAGCATATTTATTGACATTTGTGTGTTAGAGGATCCTATAAAGTTCTTTCATTGGCTTTTAGTTACTGAGCATTGCTGAAAACTCCATTTAACTGACATTTAATCCAAAAAGCTGCCGAAAGAAAAACATTTAAATAATATTGGTATCGGTAAGCACTGCTGATAAAATTGTTTATCTAGTCACTATAATGCTTATGCAATGATAAAAATACTATTTAATTGGTTTCCAGTATGTAAGTAATTCTGAAACAGCTCTTTAATTGGCATGCGATCAGTAAGGGAAGGGTTACAAACTGACCAGTTTGCTTAAGCGCAATGAAGAAGTTGTTCAACTGGCACTGGTGATAATTCCTGTCAGTGTTTCCTCTAGGTTCTGTCGAAAATAATATGTAGACCTTTTCCAGGTAACAAATTGATTAAAACGTGTCCTGCGAGAATCTAGCCCGCTAAGGACAATAAGGCAGGAAAGTCAAGTGGCCATGGAAAAATACTACGAATTTTGCCCATCATCAAAATGCCAAAACTCACTTTTGCAACGTAGAAAGTAAGAATATTTACAATGAAACTTAACAGCATAAATGCATATAATATTAGAAATACCTTAATATTGAACTTAATTAATCTTTGTATACTAATACGATACTTAGAGTTGTAAACAGTGTTATTTTGCCATCAGAAGAGATTTTGCTGATGAATTCCGACACTGACTTACCGAAAAAACGCAATGCTATGAAGGAATGAGTAGAGTATGATCAAAAGTAGCAGACAGATAGAGAATGCATGAAATGAACAAAGTAGTTCAGTGCAAAAGTTAGTGGAAGGGGAAGTATCACTGATTACAGTTTCGTGGGGTCAAAGGGTTATTGTCACAATAAACACAGCAGAAGTTGAAGTATTTCACGCGCAAGATGAAAAATGTTCAAACACTAAAATTTTGTATGAGTTTATTATGTTTATTGTAATAATTACGGTTTGACGATGTTGGACTAGTTGCAACAAACGTGCTGTTAGTAACAAATATTTTCATCTTTATTTGTGCTAATATTTTCGATGAATTAACTTTAGTTTATTTTAAGGGGAACAAATTTTTTTCAGCTTTTCAGAGAATACATATATATATAAAATGAATTTATTTTCGAAAAGATAATGTAGTACAGTGAGCAGCAGATGTAGAGTAATCAGCAGGATGCGAACACATCTTGCGAGAATACATGAAATACCCCTTTGAGGAACAGATGCAGTCAGCGTGCGGATAGCGTTCTAAGAGATGATGATTTTGAGCTATCCTTCACAATTCATTCTCTGACTGAGGCTGGAGCAGATCAAGGAAATGATGGCCGTTTACCTCCTAAAAATGCTAAATCAGGGTGAAATCTGGAGATTCCATGATTACTGAAGCATTTGGAAACTTTACAGGGCTTATCTGTTGATGACTGCCATGTGCGATTGGGCGTTGTCTTGCTGAAAAACGGCATTTTGTAAGCGGAGATGAAGGGTATTGCAATATTTCATTCGTGTATGCGTTGTGCAATTATCGAGCTTCTAATACAAACTAGAAGTGGGTGGTTATCTTTAGCGATGGGTCCCCAAACCATAATCCCACGTTGTCGAGCTTTATGGCATTTACAATCGCAGTAAGACTGACTTGTCTCTATGTTGATTATAGGCTCATCGGTGACTGTCACTGGTGAAACAGAAAAGAGACTTTTTGCTGTATATTACCTTGAGTCATTCAGTCGCCCGAGAAACTGCCTCGATACCATTCCAGATACCAATAACGTAATAATAAACCAGATACCAATAGTAATAATACCACCGTAATATTATTACCATTTAGAACTGGTGGCTTCGTTGAAATGGGCTTTGGCTTATCGTGCTAGAATTACAATGTAGGTCGCAAAACTGTTGATCATCCAAATGTTATGGGAATAAGTAAAATCCGAAAGAGTTGATGCCTGAGAATTCCCGTCTAAACGTGTACTAAAAAACGGCTCTGTTCTGCAGGATTTTGCATCGCTTGGGGTATATCTCTGCCCTCACAAGAGCATTACACATACGTGAATTAAAGATATAATCTTTTTTGAAGCACGACTCATCGTGAACAACGCAGAAGCAAAGAAAAGGGTGTCTGTAGCGCACTGTGTAAGAAACAATTGTGCAAAAGCAGTCCGAGAGGCATAATCAGCCGATTGAAGTGCCTGGATACACTGTACCTTATACTAATGCAGTTCATTTTATATAAAAATCCTCCAAAATCTTCAGCGGAAAATCTTGCTTTAGTTAGCGCACTCACACTTAAAATATTTTGAATATGGTGTAGCAAAGTCCGACTCATAGTTCTTTTGGAGGAATCCGTTTTAGCTAACCTGTAGTACAGATGTACGGTTCATGAAAAAGCGTCCCTCGTACTATTGTTTACTATATTATAATTATTTATTTGACTCGCTCATTATAACGGAGCCCGTGTATCAGATGCATGTCAGCGAACTCCCACGTTTTTAGGTATATTCGCCCATCCTATTACCTCTGCTTTTGCGTGTTAAATGAAGCTTCCCTGCGAGAATGCTCGGACAACGCAATCTATTGTGTACGAAATTATTTGCGATCTTTCATGCCTATGTCATTCCGGGCCGTTTGAGTCCAACCTACCGCCGCTACTACAAATTTATAAGCTTGGTACTGAGACACCCTGCTTATATATAATGGTATCAGCTTTATTTTAAAATTGAATCGCAACTTCATTTATCATTTATTATGTTAGTGAGTTTCAATTATTTATTTAACAAGTTTTTCCATATACCCGCAATAGACCTCCGAGTTCGAATCAGCCTCTCGTAATGTCAAATCTATTCCTGAGGATCTGTAGGGAATTACTTGCAGATTCTCTGGGTAATACGCTTTCTTTTTTCATTTTCTGAAATTCTTTTTTGTCTATTCTTCCAGCAGGTGCCGAGTATTGCGTCACACCAGCCTGTGTCACCGTAGCAGCCGCCATATTGAACGCCATGGATCAGTCGGTGGAGCCGTGTACGGACTTTTACCAATATTCCTGCGGGGGCTGGATCAAATCGAACCCTCTCCCGGATGAAAAGTCAATCTGGGGAACATTCGGGAAGCTATGGCAAGAGAATCAAGTCGTGATGAAGAATGTGCTAGGTACGTGCATATTTCCTCTGTTCACTGTACTTGCGAAAATTTGGGGCTTTTAATGGATGCATTTTTTAAATTTAAAGCCGAACAAACAGTAGTAAAGTATGAAGTTTATTTCTATTATTACGTTATTTCTTATGTTGAATCTTACCTGCATTTCAATTGTTTCGTCCACACTACAGTCATTGCAAATGAAGTGAGTTTAAATAACAAGCGAAAGTCCAAATTTAGAAAGAGTTTTGGCAACCTCTACCAGAATGCAATGATCCTGTTTTGTTAGGGTTTACATTTTGCTTTGTAAATATCGTACAACTAATGTACTAACAAATTTACAAGCAAATAAACTGTAATTTGCTGTTATCTTTACTTGAAAACTTCAGTCTGAATTATATTTTCAATATGAGCTGTTTCATATGTTTGTTGTTTCCGTTTGTGCTGCGATATTCTAAATTAATAGAGGACGAAATGTCTCGTAAAATTACTCAGTTTAGTTTGAGCAGTACCATAAATACTGTAAATAAGGACTCTAAAACTATACATAAAACGAATCGATTTCCAAGGCGGATGACATAGGTCGCTTTTCTTCAGGGCCTAAGCAAATCTATAGACGTGAATGGAAAGAATATTCAAATGAATAGGTGCGGTCAAAGGCGAAATGGGTATAGAATGCAGTATTACATCATGGAAATGAGCAGCATGAGCTGAGTAAAGACGAAATCAAAAGAAACATTTAAACCCAAGGAATGTGGCTTGATTCTATAGAGTCTCGTTCTCTTTGGTAACATAAACTACGAGAACTCTACGTAAGACCGACTTATCACTATGTCTTGGAAATTACTACAGAAACTGCGAAGGGTCTGAGGGACCCTTTTATTTAACTCATAAAGTTAACAGAAGGCACATCTTGTGCTTACAAAACCAGCCAACATTTATGGCGTAAATAAAAAAATAAGAGAATTAAAATTAAAACTAAGTTAATCGTAAGTTAGACGAAAAGTCTACACAGACAGAGACGCGCAAGATCACTCAGACCTAATATGTGCGTATCAATCCTAATAGCCACAATAATGCAACGCTGCAGATAAACTGCAATTTGCTCACAAAAGAATCAAGTAGTAAACTGTGCCTTCAGCAGGCAGCACACTCCCTAATTCTACCATCTAAAAACGATCTTTTAAATATTATCTCTTTCTACCTCATTAGAATGCGCGCAAACTAGAAATTAGCATTCTGACAGGAAAATGGAAAGTGAGAAAGACAGCAAAGCTAATTAACACAAAATAACTGGTTAGTGAAACTAATTGTATTTGAAATTTTAAAAGTTAATGAATCATGACTATCTATAAGTTGCTTTTATTTAGTTTAGTCACTCAATAAGATCACGAAAAAAATTTAATTGTTTGAATATGTGTACCATTAACAGCACGACAGAATATGCAGTTATATTCACTTTCAGACTTCTGGCAGGTAACTTTCTGATGTAACGCGTGCAGCTTCTTGTGTCTCTTCTTGAGGCGGTGAAACGTTTTCGCTGTAGGCTGCATTTTTAATAAAGCCCAGGAAAAAGAAGTGGGATAAGTAAGACCAAGACCTCATGCCAGCCATGGAATAAATACATTTCTGCCAGTCTACTATTCCGGTATTACATGATATAATTCGCGTCACACATGAATCGCAAATGGAGTAGTAGTTCGCCATATTGTTGAACGATCTGCAACTCAGCATCTTCTGCTTCCAGTTGCTGGATTTAAAGAATAGAAGAGATATGTAGCAGGTCCAGATGTACGCTGCAGTTCATATTAGCGTTTTAAAAGTAAAAAGGCTCCAAAATCTTAGGCCACATCTGACATTAACCTTAGCTAGAAAAGTTTCGAATGTGCTTATGAGCCACATGTAGAGTCTCAGATTCTGTTTGCCATCGTGACAAAACCATTTCTTTGAGTACTTAATACGATCATCTCCTATAATGTCATTCTACTCATTTCTATTACAATACGTCAGTTTAAACTTGCAGAAATTAGATTTCTTTACGCAGAATTCCTCATCAACTCCAAAAGTAACAGCGCATGACTACAATTCCCATAACCGAATATGAGGATACCAACGCAGGGCTAGCAGAGGTGATCTACTGGAAGACTTTATTTCTGCTAAAAACATATATAAACACAATAATAGCGCGCATAAAAACAGCACAGTAATAGCAACGCTTCTGCCTCTTTTTAACAACTTCAGACAGAGGATGGTCCGACTTGACTCTCTCTCATCTCACCACTTTTTGATCTTTAATAGAAAAGTTTTCGATCAGCAAGAGGAGGAATTCATATCTGATCATAAACACATTAGCTTCGAAGTAAGCGAACAAGTCGACATCAGTAGTACTCAGCGTTTTAGAAACATTGACAGTGAAAGCAAACAAGATTGTTCTGCTTTTCATTAACACCATCCCAAAAATGGATGAAAATGTCAATGCAAACACTTTCAAAGAAATTAATCCATTCACTCACTGTGTTATAATTTCACACAGAAGACCTAAAGTGAAATGTTCGAAACCAAACAACCGAATAGCCGAATTCAGGTAAACTGGTGGACAGGTGACAAGCGGGTTCGAAAACCCGGGCGGCTTCATAGATTGATCAGGTGTCTAATAGTCAGCCATGTGTTATCTGGGTTTCACAACTATCTAGAGCAGGATTTCTTAATTTTTTGGGTGTGGGGACCCCGTAATATTTACGAAAATTTTGGGGGATCCCATAAACATTGCGCAAACCCGACACACGCATGAGGGAAACTGTCAGTTTCTTCACTTGTAACGTAATATACTATTGTACTTTTTAGGTCATTAACTTTAAAGTAAAATAAAAGTTTCTGTTATTAAAAAATGCATCGAAACTTTTTCGCTTTTTCTTTGTTTATATTATCTATTGTTTTATATTTTATTGTTTATATTATCTATTGTTTATATTATCTATTGTCTTATATTTATCTATTTTCAGAAACATTATGCAAAAATATTTGGTAATTGTAAAATAAGCTAAAGAAATATCAAAATTGCTAAAATTTTTGGCAACCCCCTACTGCAGGTCCCGCGACTCCAATTAGAGTCGCGACCCACATTTTAAGAAACTCTGATCTAGAGCAACACTCCCTGGTGCCTTAAAGAGCTGCATCGGAAGTTTATTGAATTTGCATTCTACCCAGCCATAATTATATTTGTTGACAGCATGCAAGGTAGTTGACACTAGTACTTAATAAATTCAAATGGAAGACGTAATACACATAATACATTAATTACAATAAACATGAAACATGTGATACAGATTAAACGAAATAACATTATTTATGGTTAGAGTGTTTGTAATTATTATAATAATTATTAATTATTATTATAATAATTATACAAATCACAATACAAAATTACTCAAAGTACGTAATAAAAATTACTGTTTCAGTACTTTAAACATAGAATACAGAATTCCATATTCATTGGGTACAATGTACTAAATTCAATATATATACTTTTCATTTAATACATTTTGCATTGCCTGTCACAGTATTAAGGGTAGTAGTTCTTTATATATTATTGCGTATTGAACTCGATTATGCATGATGCAAATTGTATTTAGAGGAATACTATACAGTACTCATTTAGGATTACTGTTGAAATACCTAGGACATGAATTACAATGTGCTTCACTCAGTATGTGCAGAAATCTTATCTACAGTGCATATGATATTCACTATATGCATTTTCCATTACAGTCAGTGTGTGCCTTCATTGCAGTCAGTACTACTTCAGAACTAAGTCAGTGTGTTTCATCGTGACAGTCACTACTGCTATCATTACTGTGTCATCAATACAGTCATTTTATAGTACAGGAATGCTATACATTGGTGGACAGCCAAACTACGTGTCTGAAAAAACAGAACCAAAGCATTCAGGAGTAAGATGACAAGCACTCTTTCAGAACAAAGAATCAGAGCACATTAAAATTACTCAAAACAGAAAGCTATGTTATAAAACGGAAATAATAGAAATCAAATAAAAGAAAACTGAATTGGAAATAATGCTGGTGAACAATACTGCAGAATTCTCCATTCCTTGTAAAACTCTCCATTAAATCTCAATAAAAATAGTTTTCAAACCAACTGAAACTATACTACCAACCAACAGCCCAAATTTCACAAATACGTTACTTAACGCAACATTGTACTCGTTGAAGGAAGTAATGGATTCCATTTTTATAGAAGACTTCTGAAAACTATGCATCAGAATAAGCTGTTATCAAGAGAATCAAAGCGTCCCAAATTCCTAGGAAGACAAAATTTTGCTGCTAAAGAATTACACAACATCATCAAAGTTCTTTGAAATAAAATGGCACCAGGATTGGACAAGATAAATAATAAAATTAATTCAAAAGCTTGGAAATTTATGTAAGGAGCTGGAGGAATAAGGCACCACTTTCATAAATTTTAAATAATCAGTGAGAGTCGGTACGGATTCAACGCAAATCTTTTTACAACTTACGCTGTAGACGAAATCGTGAGGATAATACAATATAATGAATCACAAAATCTGCTTCTGCTCTGCTTTATCTTGACTAAAAAAGGCATTTGATTCCCTCTGGTGACCTGCTGTACATCTGGTGCTTTGCCGTCGACACATCTCTCAGACAGATAAACATCCGAAGAAACATCTTTATAATTATACAAAATTATCTACGCAACAGGAGAAGCATAATCACCCATAATAACCGAACAGTAGATAACCACCAGACAAGAAGATGTCCGTAAGGATCGTGTATAAGCGTGTATCTCTGGATTCTTACATTTAATTATATCATGTCGCATCAATGGTCTTGGCATTCGCAGATGCCGCCGCATTAATTATCGCATTATCGATGGCAGAACAAGAGAAAAACTCATATGTAATAATACCAACCACATTCTCGCAATCTTAAACCAACTATATAACGCAAAAAACTAATATTTTCAGAGTAAAAGTCCAAAGTGATGATATTTTATAGGCCAAACTATACGGAAAAAAAAATTCTTCTTAAATTTACGGAAAGACAATAAAGATCGCTAAGAAATTGAAATCTCTTGGAATGATAGTAAACGGAAAACTCAACTTGACAGAAGTTCTTCAAGATAATTAAGAATAAAAATTTAAAAAATAGCCATCTCCATGATAAGAATGAGCGGATGTGGTTGGGTTTAAATTTTTCTATCTAGAAGCCACTTTTTAACACTGTAAAAAAGGAAATTGTTAATTACGGAGCTGCTATGTGGGGGCTTTTCACTTCGGTGTTACAGTTTTTGTAGAATTTATAGGTTCTGCGATCTGTTTATGTATTGTTCTATTCTTCTTGCCATATTTGGTTGATCTGCTTATTTAAAAGTTGTCTAAGCTGTGTTTTAGGAAACATGACGTTGATGAAGTCAATTTCTTGGTTATGTTAGACTATCGGCGGTGTCGTTGCCGACGTGGCCGCTATTGTTCTTAATCCAAGAAAGACTGATTTTGAGGTTTTCTGAGACGTTATTTATTTCGCGTTTATCTGGATTACATATTAAAAGTATGACTGTCTGAGTTGATGATGAGTTTTGCGATGTTATTTGGTTGGCAGTTTGGATGGCGCTTTGACAGCAGAGGGTTCAGTTTTGTATGCTATTTGCCTCTTTTAAGTAATCGTTCCACTTGATATTTTTTGTACGTATTACTGGTCTGGGAAAACCACTACGCACTCCACTTTTTTGTCTGTTTTAGAGCCATCGGTGTAAGCTTGTGTTGCATTGCTGACTGGAGAGCTTCTGATTTGATTATGATTCTGCAGTGGCGACCTGCTGGGTGTGGGTAATGAGGTAGAGGGCGTTTTTCGAAAGGGTGTTTGTTTCATGCTCTGTGTTTCTTGTTGATTTGAAATACAATTTCAGCAATACTTTGGAGATGGAGACGACTGTTCCTGCAGGAACACTGAGAGTAGCACTTGATGTTGTTTGAAAACCACGGGTGATGTTGAGGGTGAATTGTCGCTGCGTTGAGGTGAATTTTTTCCTTCTCTTCATTATTATGAAAGACCAAATTGCTGCGCTATAGGTAAACATTTTTATGATTATTGTTTGGTATAAAACTTTGGTTATACTTGGCCTCAAGTTCCATTTCAAGTGACTTTCAAAGTCGAAGCTATCTTTAAAAATCTGAGTTCACAATTATAACCAAAGATCGACCAGTTAAAATGCTATTCCATAGCTATGGATAAAAGCACTGATATACAAAGTAGTGCTCAACTAGTATTATTTATAAGAGGTGTTGGTGAGAACTTTGAAATTGTGGCATGCAGACCATGGTAGCCTCTGTCAATAGCAACTGTTTTTAAGTAATTTAGTTCTTGGTCAATAAAGCAGTTGCTATTGACGGAGGCTTTTCACCTAACGTAGTTGATCAAGCGGTTAAAATAGTCTCATTTCAACACAACAGAACGCACTCTTTCGTTTTAGGAGATTATAGGAATTCTGTTGTCACTCCTTTCTTTCCATTGGGCCAGGCTTAGGTGGTTGGACTGTATCGATAGCGAACTTAACATTATTTAAGTTACTATCTGGAAAATTCCGATTAAACAGAAGTCTGGAAAAGGGTTTTAACAAAGGTCATTATCTGCCTTGGGTTGTTGTGCCAACAGAAGAAAAAGAATTACAAATCTTGACTCTTCGATTCAACCACACTAATTCAGTGCAGGAGCTTTTGGAAACAACATAAAATCTAAAATCAGAGGTAAATATAACATGAAAAAGATAAAATAGCTATTGAAATAGGAAAACAGCAACTTGTAGCCTGCGAACACTTGCAGCTAAAGTTATCACTCATCTGCCGTTTAATTAGTACATCTGTTCAAAAGATGTATGCAAGTGCATGTATTTGGGATTATAATGGAAAGAAAGTATTGCGCTTGTTTTAGTTGCTGTATTTCACACTATGTTAACGAATCTTTGTTACTTAATGCGTGCTCTGAAAATTCAATGGTTTTTGCCTTACCCACGTTGTAAATCACGTTTGATTAAAATCGCACGTGCTGAATCAACGGATACAGGGGTACAAAGCTTTAAAAGATAAGACAGAAATGTACTTACATCTGAATGACTAAAATGTTCATAATTTAAGACAAGCTGTTAAAATAAGTAAAATTACATCAACCAGTGTTATACGCTCCGGTGCTTGATTACGTAAGAAAAAAATCTTGAAATATAAATAAGACAAAAAATTCTTATCGTCATCCAAACAAGTATATTTGATCATTCAGCTGCTTTCCATTTCACATACTAATGAGTTCATCTTAATAGTGATTCTATAGCTTCAACGTTTACAGGGAGCCAAAATTGTTCTATCCTTGTCTCAAGTCCTTTCTTACGTAGGTATTAACTGTTATGCAAATAATCTTTCTGATGTAGTTTACTATGCTGTCGACAAGCTACGATATTTCACTTAGAAGACTAAAGATCTAGAACCGCTATAAAGAAGGCCCTTGATCCCGATAATATGAGAGAACTTTATAAATGTGAAACAGAAAATGAGGAGTAAAGGAATGAACCAAAATAAGCCCTGGGCGTTCAGAAATGAACATAGTAATGATTGTAGATGCTGTATGATGTTACGCTAATGAGTAACATAATGTGACACTAATGAGTAACATAACTAAAATGTCATTTAGAAGTTGCAATCTGTTTGTTATAAGACAATTGAATTAACTCCCGCATTTTCCCTTCATTTGCAGAAGATGACACTTTTGAGCTAAAATGTGAAGCAGAAAAGAAAGCTCGTATTTACTACACGTCTTGCCTGGATAAGAACGAAACGGCGGACAAACTCGGAGCACAACCGATGCTCGATCTTCTCACTAAGGTAAGGTATTTATTTTGATAAGTAACATATCCAAGAACTGTTAATTGTCATGTCTATATCAAAAAAGTCATGTCTATTTCTAAAATCAGGTCTATTAGTCTATATATATATAAAATCAGATTTTAAATTACGCCCAAAGAAGTGTTTTTTTAACGTTTTGTGTGTTACCTTTATTTATTAACTATCTTGTTCTCTGCACTTAAACCATAAAATTCAGTTCAGTAGCAATGTCGCAAAATAATTTTAAAATGAGCATATCTTTAGAATTTCCGATACACAGTTCCGCGCCGCTGGAGATAGAAAGGTTTTTTCCCCCTCGCCTTAAAGTGTTGCCATTGCTCGCTTTTAAATCGTTGAGTTTGTTACTCAAAAATTCGTTAAAGATTTACAAAATATGAAACCGATCATAAAACAAATTCCAAATTTCAAATTTGGTCTTCCACATGTCCATATTCGTAGGAGGATTACGTCATTCAAAATTCGATGGCTTTATGTACCGTTGTTTTATCACAATTAAAAATAGAAATACATTTATGCAGAAAAGAGAAATAGACATACATTTATGCAGATTTTTCATTATTTAATTTCTTCAAATATAGTGCAAGGCTCCAACATTTGGTGGCAACAGTTTGAAAAGTAAAACGGACATTTATAGTGATTCAACGCAATATCGCAAAACGAAAACAATAGTTCTTCAGAGACAAAGCCACTTTGGACTAATAAAGATCGGAAATACGTGAATAGGTATTTTGCTAACTGACGATGCTCAAGATCCTACAGTTATCACAGCTATTATGGTGTGCATATTGTTGTAAATATACGCGAATATTTTATTATTAATATAAATATTAAATTGAACTTCAGTTTATATTTTATTTTATGCCTAAAAATAAATAGAAGTAAAAATAAAAAAATCTGATGTGGTCACCACTTCTTCCTTGTACGGCCTACTACATTATACGCATTTTTTACTTATTTCCTTAATTTAAACTTATTTCCTCGAATTATTCTAACTTAATTAACCGAAATCTCTAGACAAGTTCAAGTGACATAAAAAACTTCAAATTTAAAATTAAATATCACGAACAATTTTTTGCCGTGGGGGAGGCAAACTTCTTATTATTTCTCGCAATTTTATTTTTTCATAACGAGTATAAAACTTTCCCAAATAAAAGTATAGAAACAGAAGACCGCATTACAAGTTAAATTTCTATTTTCGAAAATTATTACCATTATTATTTATTTTGATTTTGCCAAAACACGAATATTTTCGTCATTTAAAACACTTCTGTAATTAGAAGTATATGACTTCGACAAGCGATTGCGCAAAGAAAAGGCTGTAAGGCTGTTTAAAGGGAAGGATATGTAAGATATGATTATAAACATTTGGTACTGCTCATTGAAAAAAAAAAAAAAAAAAAAAAAAAAAAAGAAGTTGCGTAACTAGATGTTATAGCAATCCCACATACAAAATTTCAGAGTTCTACAATAATTTTTCAGTTATGCGAGATATATGCATACGTAAGTATAGCCGTCACGAAAAAAATCCCTTATGAATCCAGTTTAAATCCATTTCACAATCCGTTTTGAAAAAAATGTCCTTTATTTTGTCCGACAGACGTCACGTAAGAAAGAATCGTCCAAATGGATTCGGGAAAGATAAAACTAGATATTTCTGTTGAAATATGATACGCGAAAGTTTTGGGATTACAATACTTCCGTTACTTCGTATAAGGAAGAAATATTTTATTTCAGTTTATTTCTAAAGAAATGATGATTGACACGGCTTTTAAGGAGAATCCTCGTGAATTTAAATAGAAAATATTTCCCGTAAAACGATTCCTTCGGAAGCCATCCTGTTACATACCGAATATTTTCGTCAAGACTCTTGATTTCCTTCCGGGTTTTTAGAGCTATGGCTCACTTCGTAAACAAGGAAATTTGAGCTTTCTATAAGAAGTTAAGAGCAATTAAGATGAGAAGTAGCAGCAGTCTCAGATCAAATTATTCCTCTGTCGTTACCCGCTTGGGAAGAAGACAAATCGACGTCACGTGATCGACGTCGCATAAATATGACTAAGGAAATACTGTCATGCATTGTTGTCTGCAAAGAGATAATGAGATTGGCAGTTGCCAAGGGAATAATAAATTTTGTAAGAGCCCCAGTAACAACAAAATATGACAGCAATAAAGAAATTTGGAGTGTTTTATAGATTTCCAAAATAATAATAATCTTTATTTATGTAGTTCTCTCTTTTAATGCAAGACAGAATCAAGTTAAAAGGAATGCTTCATTAAGAAATACAGTAGAACTCTGAGAGATTATCTTATAGTCAGTTTTCTCATTGTTGCCATTCGGCAATGCATAAGATTTTAAATATAATCAACTTTTATACGGTTCACAGTGATATGGGAAGCTAAGGAAATAGGGAATTATTCACAGGGAAATTATAAATCTTTTTCAAGAAGTTCAGGAAAATCAGAACTTTTACCAAAACGTAAGGGGTGTTAGAAGAGAGCAGATCAACTCTCTCAAATAATTAAAAATTCATGTTTTAAATACTTTAATAAACACAAATTACCTCTTTTTATAAATTAAATACTACAATCTTTGTTTTTGCTTCAAAAAATTTATTTTATCCACCTCATACCTAATAACAGTTTTATCAACCCATAGAGCTCTTTTCTCATTTTTTCAACTCTGCTGTTTTGAAATAGGCGCTTCAAGACCTTTCTAACCCTCCCCTATTTGTGATTGTAGTATTTTTCGCCATCACCACATATTACTTACTTTTTCCACCTCACTTGGAGCTGTAGTTTAAGTCAGCCTTCTTTCATGCACTTTTCACGAAGCGAAACCGAAATGAAGTGGGAGAAAAAGCAGTTAGGGGACTCAACCATCTGCTAGTGTAGTCATAGTTACAGCGCAATCCGGGTGAGAAATTACCCTGAAGTACCTATTATAGAATAACAGATTATAGTGAGCTGTTCTTCACATTTCTTTTTAGAAATATAATTGATCAATTTTCCCTTAAAATAGCGTAATATAAAAATCGCCATACTGCGTGATTTATGTTATAATAAAGAAGCCGTTTGCGCGGCCAGCCTTCGTTATGGTATGTCTTCGATTTGGCGAGTTAAGCGTTCTAGATTAAAGGGTGGCCATGAAAGCGGTTAGTTAAAAAATCTAGAAAGTACACTAACTATTATTGTTTTAGAAAAGAGCGAAGAGTTGACTTTAAAATCTATGAAAACTTCAACTTTACAATCAATACATCTTTGAAGGTTGGAATTTTTAATGTCCTAAAAAGAATATAATATTACGTATCACAATAAAACTAATAAGCTTTCAATATGCAATGATGCGAGAAAATGCGCATAAACTTGTAAGGATCTTAAGTTTTACTAACGTTTATTTTATTTTAAATCTTTACTATCACTTCTTATTTTCTACTTCCGGCCAGAATTATAAGCGTGAAGGAGTTTATGCAAAGTTGTCTGGCGAACGCCAAGTATTTAAGTGTGGCCTTTTTGCCAAGAGAGAGAGAGGAAGCAGTGAGTTCGAAGCAGGCCGCTTACCTTAGAAGTTACGCAGTTGCTATTTGCCTTCCAGGCCAGAGGTTTTAATCCTCTTGATAAATTAAACGTATTGTAGTGTTCACAGTCTCTGTGCTACATACGCTTCCTGTTATTATAAGGCCAATCTTATTCTAAAAGTTAAATTAGAGTTTAGTTTTATTTTTATACCTTTTACGTTAGACCCCGAGTGGAGGGTCATTGTATTCCGAAGTACGGAAGTCATTGTATATAAAGAAAAATAAAGGGTCTTGTATACCCTTCGTCTGTATCCTGTCTACTTACTACAATTAGTGAACATAGCTTTAGTAAGCTCTCTGTTCCTAGTCAGGTCATTGTATGTTTCCGAAGAAGGTTAGAAGAAACATTGAACCTGATAGTGGCGCCCGACGAAGAATAACCATGGCCGAATTTCAAGAAGAACCTGTGCTGCCTGCAGAAACGGCTCAGAATCCAGAAATGCCAGCTGCCGCTCTGGAAGGATTTGGGTTACATCGTCCAGACCATGCGCGCTTCGATGAAACCAGAAGCAACGTTTAATGGAAACTCACCGGTGGTACCACCAGTTTTTTTGGAAAAATTGGATGACCACTTCATGCTCTACCCCGTGCACGAGTTTCAAAAAGTTACCTTAGCTACCAGCGCTTTGAGGGGCCAAGCGCTTAACTGGTTCAAATGTATCGGCAGAAGTCTCTTGGGTCAAGCAGGAAGTCCCACCTATACTTACGAAAATTTCAAGACTGCCCTACTAAAAGCCTTCCCTGTTGTAAGGGATCGTGCGAAATTAGAAACAGAACTTTTTAGTATATATCAACAAAGAATGGAAAACCTCTCGAGCTTTATTTTAAGAAAAATTCACGTTTTCAAGCTCTTGTATGGAAACCGTCCGGATCCTGAAATAATTCAAGTGATTTTGCCGAGGTTACTACCCCAAGTGCAAGACTTTATTGAATTACGAAATCCGACTACACTGGAAAAAGTTATTTGAGCTAGCAATGCCAGTTTGAAAGTAGAAGAACGGCGGACGTCGAAAGAAGACGCCAATATCAACAGCGAAACCAATTTGGTACGCCAAGACTACAGCAAACTCAAGCATACGGCTACGGAGAAAAAGCGAATCAGTGGGCAAGGAAACCCGAGCATTCAAAAACAGCCGGCGAACGTCGACAGTTCAATAGCAACCCAGGAAAAAAGTCTCAAGGCCAGTGGAGAAAGAAGGAAAGCACCGAAAGGAAAAATAATTTAAACTAAAACGGATTTCTGCTGACGAGAGGGTGCGGAAATCCGAAGGCCACGAAAACCCCTCTTCCTACAAGTTAAATACAGTAATGGTGAAAAATTTAACTCTTCCGAAGATTGAAGTCTTGGTAAATAATATCCCGGCCACCGCACTCCTGGATACCGGCGCGCAGTGTTCCTGTGTG